ATCCTGGCCACTGGTTTGACCTCAACACCTAATATCCCCTCATACGAGAACTCTGAGAATTTTGGAGGGCCTCTCTTCCACGCCAAGGACTTTTGCAAGAAGGCACCAGAGCTGAAGGACATCAAGAACGCCGTAGTCGTTGGCGGAGCCAAGTCCGCGTTCGACGTCGCTTACGCCTTGGTTCAGGATGGGACCACGGTAGACTTGATTGTCCGTCCCAACGGCCATGGTCCCGTTTGGATCGCGCCTCCTTTCGTCACACCGCTCAAGAAGCGTTTGGATCAGCTTCTGAACGTGCGATGTATGTCTTGGTTCAGCCCCTGCCCTTGGGGGTTCGAGGATGGCTACGGCGGCGTCAGAAACTTCCTCCACGGAACTGCTGTCGGTCGATTCATCGTGGACTCATTCTGGAAGGTCTTGAGCGGCGATGTTCTCTCAGCAAACGCCTACGACTCTCATCCCGAGTTGGCAAAGCTTAAGCCTTGGCATTCTGCCTTCTGGATCGGCAGTGGTCTCAGTATTCTCAACTACGACAGCAGTCTTTTTGATCTCGTCAAGGAAGGCAAAATTCGAGTTCATATCGACAACATTGACCGTTTGGAGCCTCACCGTGTCATCCTCGCATCTGGAGAACAGTTGGATGCTGAAGCCATCATCTGCTCCACGGGCTGGAAGAAGGAGTCAACCATCAAGTTCGCCGGCCTCGGTGAGGAGAAGTTCGGCCTCGCTGTCTCCCCCAGCGAGAAGCGGGAGCTCGATCAGGACGCCGATGCCAAGGTCCTGTCCCTGTATCCCCGACTCGCCGCACAGCCGAAACTCAGCTTTCAGCCCAAGGAGGCGAACCCCTTGCGCTACTACCGCTTCATGGTTCCGTCCACGATGATGTCCAAGCGCAACCTCGCCTTCGCCGGCATGATCTCCACAGTAAGCACCTCTGTGTGCGCGACTATTCAGGGTCACTGGATTGCGGCATACCTCAGCGGCAAGCTGGACCGTGTGCCAACTACGGAGCAAGAGATCACCGATGAGATCATGCTTCACACCCAGTGGGGCAAGTGGCGCTTTGGAGCATGTGGCTATGGCAACAGCCTGCCCGATTTCGTCTTTGAGGGTTTGCCTTATGTCAACATGCTGATGAAGGATCTTGGTTTGGAAACGCATCGCAAGTCTAGCGGCTTCCAGGAGCTTACCTCTCCATACTTGCCGGTTGATTTCCGAGGGTTGGTGGACGAGTGGAAGGTTGGACATGACGTTGATGAGTCTGATAATGGCTCATCAAAGCTTGGCAAGGCGGAAGTCGAAATTTTGCAGGTTTGATCTTGCCAGACACAATGGACCAAGTCGCGTATTTTGATGAGTGCTACTGGGGCATTGTCTGTAGTTCATGCTTCCAGCTCTTTTCCTTTGTATATTTCTGGAGTTCGATATCATCACCTTGACCTTCACGCTCAAGTTAAAACACTTCATACCCATTTTTCAATCGTAAGATTTGAAACCACTATTATTCTGAATGAATCGGGGTCGACACGATGCCGACCCGCCTATTTCAACCTCTCTCGACCACATGCAGCCACGCGTGAAAGCTTAGCCGCAAGGCTCAAAGCAGCCCAAAACTAAGGCAAGATCAACAAGCTTACCATCAATGCCATGTTTCTTCATGATTTAGGTCCCAAACAAACAGAAGCGCCAATGACGCGGTGGGCTGTAAGGCAGGGATTTACGATCTGTGGGGTTGTTTGGCTCTCTACTAGATGGTCATGTGTGTAGTAGTGTGCGCGGGTTTCGCAGGTTGTCAACGTCACATGACCTTGAACGAGCTTCTTCTAAAGACATGAAATAGTGAGTACCTTTTCTTCCGACATCCTCGGGAAAATCAAGCCATGATAGGTATGTAAGTGTCCCCCCTTGCCCTGACGACGCCGCAGACTACCTTGCCATGTTGCCGCTTCAAGCGAAGCTGAGCAAGGGGCGGATAAGATTTACTCATCTCCGTCACCTACGCGAGGCCTCATCTCTTTTGGAGACCTCCCCACACCCAACCCAAGCACGAGATCTAGGCCTCCGTATTTCACCCAAGCCGGCATGACGCATCTTAACCTCGCGAGAAAAGCACGTCAATAGTGGTTGTCACGACATGCAGCAATCCCAGAGAACTGCCTTGCTCAGCCCACGAGCAGAATTGCGTGGCGATGGCCCATCTACCATTCTTATCAGTGGGTATCGCAAGGCATGAGCCGCTCGGGCCTCCTTTTGAGGTCGCCGACGTCCCCTCACCGCTTGCTAGGTTCTTGCGAAGATTGCCAAGATGAACGCCGAAACCCCAACACGGAATATGATAACATCTTGTATTTGAGAAGCGGCAGGCGGCAGACGGCAGGACCAAGGGCTTGTTGGGCTTCGTCATCGTGTGCGTTCTGCCCGAGAGGGGGCCGGGAAGGGTTCGGATGTTGAAGGAAAACATCAAAACTCCAAAAAGCAAGTTGAAGCAAGGTCAGGAACTTGCCTGCTTTCTGACTAGTCACACATACCCTGTTCGCGGTCAGTCTGTCTGATCGCTTGATGATCTACGTACTACGCTGTGATTTGTTAGCCCGCCCCTGTCACTGTCTCATACCCCTGCGTGCCAAATGATGCCCTCATCACATTAATACGAATTAGCCGACAAAGCCGACCTTTCTGCTAAAACATGCATCAACAGGCGAGATCTTATTGGAAGCGAACGGTTTTTGCTCCCTTACTTATACAGGGCAAAACTAATGAACGTTTCCTGTTGTTGAGACATGGAATCTCAGACCTATGTTCCTTCTTTTCAGCTGGAGTTGTCGTCTCCCTCTTGCTTGACAGCGCGTCAGGGTTGTCTACGTAATGATTGACAACGTAGCAGATTGCCGTCGCATCGAAAAAGTGCATGTAAAACTAGTCTGAAAGCAGAGTCTCAATTGTTAGCGGATGAAACATAATTTGCCCCCATGAAGGTCGAAGATTGTTTGATTGGCATGGAACGAAGTTCATACGGGTCTTCATCGGAATCTCTTTGGGCCTGGAACTTGCTCTACTTTGGTATTAGTGGGGGATCGTCGATGGATGGCGCCCTTCCCCTCAAGTCCCGCTCGCCAGCTTGCTTGGCAGGGTATACTTCAACTTAATGCCGCCCCCAGTCATTAGGTTTTCAGCGCCCAACAGCTGCCTACATCAGTCAACTTGAGATGTGACATATCTTCCTTGAGTGCTCCGCCACTTCACAGTTGGCCTCCCGTCTTCTGGATCGTCCTCTCATTCGCAGCAGCAGCTTCAGGTACCGGAGATCAAGATTCTATTCGCAAGCTTCTCCAGATGGGGAAGTTGAAAGCCGAAAATCTCACGTGGCATCGAGAACCCTACATGAGATTCAGCTAGGGACGCGGAATCTCCCCGAACCATCAACCTCGTTGTGTGCCGTGTCGTATCTCGCGATTAACCACGACAATAGGTCTGAGCACAGGCCCCAACCTCAGCAACACGACTGCTTCACCGAATTCCCACTTACCGTTAGTCAGACCTGGACGAAATGTTTAGACTGTTGACTCGTGATGAGATACGGAATGTGGCTGTTTCTAGTCCAAAGTCTCTACAGAATTCTCCGTCGCGGCCAGAGACGCCATCTGCAAGGGGAATGGTAACTTACAAGGGGTGGATTCGCCGGGGTTGAAAGACATCACCCCATTTAAGGCATCCGAATGAGCCGCCTCACTTTGCTAACGGCTTGACTTCGGAATCTGCGCCTAAGGTTTCCCATTGCTGCGAATCAAGGCCCGGAAATCCTTGGCTTCATTCCATGGCGGCTATCACATAGCGCTAGCTGGCATTCAGGATGCGAGCGGAGGGCTAAAGAGGGCTGATTTCTACAGCGAGATACCAACCCGCCAGAAATCACGCCAGGGGCTGAATGTCGAGTTACAAATAGTCCATCCACTAGCTCGTAGGGGCGATCCATAGAGACTCAACATGTACCCGTGAAGTAAGCCCTAATATGAAACTTGGGGCCATGATATCTACCGCTCCACTCAGAAGCACCCATGAGTAATACGGGGAACATGCCAGAGTCGCATCCGCGATGTTTGAATGCATGCACGATACAAAGTAAGAACCAACAGCCAAGCCCTTGAAGCAAATCACCCTGGGAAGGCGTATGATCCCCGAGTGACAGCTGGATGCTAGGGCAGGGTTACTTCAAGTTCCTGTGGAGAATGCCCTCTTTCGATCAACTAGGCTACTGGGCATGCTGTCGCTACGTTGACCGAATTCGAGAATTCCGTGCCGTGTTTTGCCTCGCATGGTCAAAGCTCTATCATATTTCCTCTTGGCAACCAAGATGTAGGCTTCGGGATGTAGCATGGATGCTGGACTCATGTCCATCCCGCATGCGTTGTTGAATGCAGATCTGCAGGTCCAATCAAGTCATCGCCGACACTAAGAATTCCATGATAAAAGCAGCCTCAACGGCACATTCTTGATCACTCAACTGTATTGTAAGACGTGGTTCAGCTACTAGGCCGAACCCTCTTCGTCAGTGCTTTAGACGATCTGTCTCCTTTCGGTGGGAATCGACCCTATTTGTTACCGCCTTTTCTTCTTTTCAACCAAATCCGTACTGCCAACCACCCTATCTGGATGCCTCCTGAGACATCTATCGGGCCTGTTTCAACATTCTACCGACTACTTCACGCCTCGATGATGAACTAGCCCGTCAGCCTACCACACTGTTTACTCACAAGTTCGTTATTAGACGAAGCGATAACGGGTTTTCTGAGAAGTACGTTCAACTCTAATCGTATGTGAGGAGGAGTCTCTGGCACTAACTATCAAAAGTTGAATCAACGACATGGAAATCATGGAGCTCGTTGACAACAGACCACAATCTCACCGCTTCAACTGCGATTGGAAGACGTGCAATAAGGTACCAGCCTACTCGACTGCGTGGATAAACAACAGACCTGTGTCACCTTTGCCATTTGCTGATAATGTTCTTTTGTCAGGGATTCAAGCGCAAATCCGACTTGCAACGACACTACCGAATTCACACAAACGATCGGCCGTTCCCGTGCCCAGCGCCAGGCTGCGAGTCAAGCTTCATCCAGAGAAGTGCTCTGACGGTGCACCTACGAATCCACACTGGAGAAAAGCCCTATGAGTGCCAGTATCCCGGCTGTGATAAGCGGTTCGCAGATGTAAGTTTGATTGCGCGTCGTACAGTTCGGCGGAGAATACCTTAAATGGTCGTGTTGTATGCATAGTTGTACTAACTTCTTCAAAGTCGTCCAGCTTTTCTCGACACCGTCGATTACATGTAGGCAAACGCCCTTATACATGCGCCGTTGCCACGTGCAGGAAACAGTAAGTTGACGCCCAACGGGTCGCCAGATTCATTTTGCAAATCTAATTCTTGCGAAGCTTCGTCCGAAAAGTGGCAATGGTGCAACACCACAAGCTCCATCACAGAACCAACGACGACTCTAAGGAATTCACGGGCCAACATTGGAACTCGCCACCGCGCCACGATGAGGTAGCCACTACAAGTACTGCTGTCATGATGCCACCGGCGAAGGACATGGCGTCGAGGAATAGCCCACGGGCTGCAAGAAATACCAGCTCCGTCGAGCTTCACAGAGACGATCATACTGGGGCTGCCGAACATTTTGAACAATCTCCGCTCGCCAATTCGTACAAACAGCCATATGGAAGATTCCCTTACGACTATTCAACGGCCGACGGGCAGTTCTTTTACGATGATTCCCACAGCTCTCAGGGGTCGGAACAAGCTTCAAGTCCAATTGATGACGTCGCGAGCCACCAAGTCAGCTCTGGATGGCCTCCTCACCACTACAATCCGCCGCCTTCATATTTGAACGCTGTTTCCGCACCAGACCTGTGGACACCATGCGTCACTACCTCGGGCGGGCATGCGGCTGGATTTTACGGTCATGAAACAATGTCATCCCCTCCCAATTTACAGCCAGTCTTGGGCTTTCCGCCAGCCATCCCGTACGAAGTACCGCGACCAAATACGATGAGCTGGAATCCTTATCAGACATGGCCGCAAGAGGGGAGATGCCATACACAGGCTTTCCTTCATCCAAGGATCTCGGCAGATTTGGATCCAGCTCTGTTCCAATGATCTCGGTTTCTCCAATATCGGTTTACTTGCTTCACATACCAAACAACAATTATAGGATCGAAAAATCTTCATCATTATGTAAGATGGCATGAGCGGACATGTTTGCCTCTCCTTGGGATTAGCGTTGCGCAATAGCACTATATGGTAATAATGCAAATTCATCAAGCAAAAACTGCATCTCGTAGCTCTACAATCCTGTTTTCGAAAAGCACGTGACGTTTTCTCTCGCTGTCATTAGCATTTGAAAACAATGAGCGAGATCTACGACGGACGTTTTGATTGACGAGTCGTTACATGTTTGGTTAAGACTGGGTGAATCAACTGGTGAGACATCGTCAGGAATTCCATCTATTCCGCCGAATCTAAACCGGCAAGGCAAGCCGGGTAATGTGATGTCTCAGGTACTAGACCAATCTCAGTTCCATGCCTGTCCAGGAAATGATGACACACCGCGGATTATGCTGAAAAGGGTTGTGAATCGGTCTACTCTGGGGCTGTTAGGACGGTTAAAAACGACAATGCGAGAGCCAATATGACAATGCACAGTTGTCTGCTATGAGCGCTCACGAAACAACAATTTCCCCCTGAATCCGGAGCCGGAGGATAGCAGATTTCTAACACGACTCAAAGTCAAGGCAACCACAATCCTTCCAGACGTCCCGGCTGGTGGGGCCGGCGCCGCACAAAATCCGGGCCTGCATGCGGGATATCGCTGGCGGGAACCAGCGCGCATTCGGACGGTGATCAGGATTGCATGCATGGCGGCGGGGACCCGTGGTGGATTCAAGGTCGTTTCGAGCCTCTTTAAAACTAGTTGGTTGAGTTAGTCCGGGGATTTATGCGAGACTTCAACGGGCTCGGTGTTCTGATGGTTTGACTGGCTGGTTTAGTACAGGGGAGCTCGCGCTTGCAACTTCCTGATTGGCAGCGGTGTGGGGGGTCCGATGCAGTGTCAGCCATGCATTTTACGGATGGAGATTCGAGATTGGCATTTGTGAAAACTGGTGGGATTTCCTCCGTAGTTTTTGAGTTTTGCCCAGACACTCTTCTGGTTCTCTTCTGGCTATTATGGTGTTCTGTTCACTGATGGTGGGGGCAAAAAACTCATGGCCATAGTTATGGCCCCGGAAACCAAGAGATAGCCCCCAGCCACTGCCATTTTGAGTTTTGATACGCGCTAAGCGCCAGCTCATCACTTAGTCTGGGGTCAACGTCATAGAACACAGTCCGTTCTTTGCTCAATCTCATTAGCTCTGAGCTATCCGTGGATGATGTCAATTGCAAAATGGCTTTCACATGATACAGACTAGAAGACAACCCATTGAAAGAACTGTCTTCGACTTTGAAGGGCTGCGGAATAACTTCGGAAATTGAGTCCATGCAGCTGCAAGTCAAGTTAGCGGTTAGCCACAGATGACGCTAACAGAGCCAAAGTTGTTTCGGTGTTTGTTCAGCAACAAAGAAGGCCGGGAACCTTATCTCTGTACAACAGTCTAATGCAGCTTTCTGCCTCTTCTTCCGGTGCAGCATTCGCCCTTCCCGACGGCAGCTCCCGACATCACACTTGCCAACATCAACAGCCACCAAAAGGATGAACCCGGGGGAGGCAACTCACGTGTGTGGCCAATGGCCACTGCAGATCGCTCGATCGCTAACTGGCTAGGCGGTGAGGTGGATGCTGCATGGCCCGGTGGGTCGGCTGGCGGACCGTTAATGCCGTTATTACCTGCCTCTCCCCCAACCTTTCATGACCCCGCAGCGGTGCAGCACTCGCTATCAGAAACCACTCCATCTCACTCACCCTTCCTCTCTCAATTTTTTTTTCATCCCTCTCAATTCTCCCAACATTCAGCCTGAGAGAGTGTGAAGAGAGAGGCGAAGAAGCGAAGACGACGGGAGAACTGGAACCGTGACATCGAATCATGCCTCAAAGAAAAGACAGGGACCCCAATGCATTTCCGACCCGACAGCTGCTCGTTCTTGGTAAATCACACCCCTCCATCTTGGTCTCTATGGCCTGCAACGCGCTGACACCGCAAACTCAGCAATATGTCGATTCTCAGAGCCCATCGCCTTCAACTCCATTCTGGCGTACACGTTCGACATGGTAAGGGACTTGGGCGTTGAAGACAAGGAAGCACCTTTTTACGCTGGTCTTTTGGTTTCTGCCTATGCCGTCGCGGAAGCTCTCACCTCCATGGGCTGGGGCGCGTTGTCCGACCGTGTCGGGCGGAAGCCCGTGGTGCTTTTCGGGCTTGTGGGTGTGGCCACCTCCAGTTTAATTTTCGGTCTCGCAAAATCCTACTGGGTCGCACTCTTGGCACGATTCATCGGAGGATCATTGAACGGTGAGTCTCACAACCTTTCAAGAAACGCAACACAGCATGACGCTGCGAAAGACCGCCATGTCCATAATGTTCAACCAAACAACTCCAAATCCCCTTTCAATGACATCATTTTGGTTTTCACGCCTCATTTTCATCATCGAAAACTAACGTTTTAACTAGGCAACGTGAGCGTTATGCAAACTGTTTGGCTCCCCCTCCCATTGAATCCTGGCATTCCCTAACTGTTAGGCAGATGGTGGCTGAGATGGTGAAAAATCCCGATCACGAACGTGAGTTTTCCGCCAAAATCCGGGGGCAAAGACCGGTGGCTCTGTCTTACTCGGCGATCCCCTGTGTAACCTTGCTAACAATTTTGATTAGCCAGGGCGTATGCCGTGCAGCCGTTCGTCTGGACTCTTGGCGGCATCATTGGCTCTGCCATGGGTGGTTTCCTCGCCCAACCAGCCAAGTTTTACAAAATCTTTCCTGAGGATGGACTGTTTGGACAGTATCCCTATTTGCTGCCGAATCTCGTCTCCGTCATTGTCATTATAGCCGCCGTCATCCAGGGAATCTTCTTCTTGGAGGAGACTTTGCCGTCGAAGCATGACTCGGAGGAGGACTACACCGAAGCCGTGGCCGATGACGACTTTATCGACGAGAGAACCCCGCTCCGAAGAGCTCCGCGACGAAGCCTCAACCACCGCCGGTCGATTTCCACCAGCCACTCGAGGCCGCGTTTTGTGGAGTCCAGTCTGCCTCTCCCGATTGAGCATGACTTTGATCTCAGACGCTCATCTTTTGGAACGGTGCACTCGATCAAGGTTGTTTCCGACGAGCTGAGGAGCGATTTGCTGCGCCAGAATGGCCACCAGAACGGCCGCTCTCAGCAACCGCCCAACAACAAGCCCAAAGCCAAGACTTTCAACTTCACCGTCATCATGCTCACCATTACACTGGTCATTTTCTCGTATCACCAAATGGCGGCTGGCTCGCTTCTCCCCACATATATCCTCGATGAGCCCGCGGCGCCTCATGGACAACTTGATCTGAGGGGCGGCCTTGGTTATGACGTTCATGATGTTGGAACATACTTGGCAGTGAACGGTTTTCTGGGACTCCTCATTCAGGGTGTCATTTTCCCGATTTTTGTCGAGAGGGTCGGCGTTTGGGGCTCTTTCATCTGGATGGTCGCGCTCTACCCGACGGCGTACATCCTGATGCCGTTCTTGTCGGCCTTCCCCGACGTCCTCACACAGGCCGGCATCTACTTTTCTCTGGTGATGCAGAGTTTCTACGGTATCATTGTCGGCCCGGTCACGCTGATCCTGCTCAAGGATGCGACGCCCTCGCCTCAGGCGCTCGGCAAGGTCAACGGCTTGGCCATGTCCGGCGCTTGTCTTGCCCGAACAGTTTCTCCGCCTCTTGTCGGTGTTATTTACAGTTTCGCAGGCTCTGCAGCGGCCTGGTGGAGCTGCTCTGGTATTGCTTTGATTGGAGTCTTGCAGGTTCTCTGGGTTCCGAGGAAGCATATTCATATCGACCATGTGGAGGTCGACAACGGGCTGGCCCGGCAGCTCACGAACAACTCGCAGAGAGGAGATGAAAACCGCGGCCGGGTTTGAGGGACGGTTTCCACACATACATGGTTATGGAGTTAATGGGCTTTGATTTGCTACGAGTTTTGGCCGCCTCTTATGATGATGCTATTTGGTTTCTCGTTGCAGTTATCATGGGTCATACACGGGAGTTCTTCACGATTTTTTCCATCTACTCACGGCACTTACGGCACTTGTGGCACGCACGGCTGAAGTTGGTATGATGCAGTTTGTCAATGCTTGGTCTTAATGAGGGCTTCTTTCTAGGATTAAATAAAACGTTTCGTTGCTACTTGCGCTCCCTTTGAATATGAGAGTTTGAGATACCCAACAGCATGATTGCAGTCAAGATTGCGTAGTATGTGTACAGCAAAACACGGCAGTAATCACAACGCAATTCTAGATTTACGAAGACAACATACCAAAGCACGAACTCCTAACCACACCACATCTACTGTCACAACCGAAGCAGCAATGACATTGAATACAGCAACTATCATCATGGCTACGCCTGAGTTCTAATGTTCAAGAGCTGCGACTATGATGCCTAAGGTCGCAGCTGTGCTTATGTTGGATAAATGACCGGGAGATAGGGTTCGTGCAGATAGACGCTTTGTCTATCGAGAGAAGCCGCATAGTCAACTTATGTACGCCGAAATTGAAACTCGAACACAAACGTAGAAACGTAGCGAGGGCGACAGGCACGTACACGATGAGAATATCATTAAGCAAAACAGCGGAAGGAGCAAAGGGGCAAATGTAAATCTGCAAGATTGCGATATGATCGCTACAGTGATATTATTGAACCTAGGTCATAGGTTGGCGCTAAAACGTCAGACCTCAGACACAGCATGAGTACCAGTGTCAGCACCTGGAGGCTATTAGATTACACTAACATTTACACAAGAAGTAAAGTATGTACAGTCCTTGTATTACAATTCCAAGGACGTTTGAGAAACTTGAGGGGATGCCGCCGGGTCGGCTAGTCAGCTACGGCACATGCGTCCGTCGTTGGCAACGGACCAGGCATCGCTGCCAACCGCAGCAACGTTGTACAACAGTCCCTTGGGATCGTACTTCTGCTTGATCTCAAGAAGCTTGGGGTAGTTGACACCGTAAAAGGTGTTCTGCCAGTCCTTCTGCTGGAAGTCGGCCTCGTTGATGTAAGCACCGGCGCCAGGAGTGGCGGCCTCGATGACAGGCTGGACAACCTCGGTCATACGGGTTTGCTCGGCAACCATCTCGGAGTAGGGGACCTCGAAGCTCCAGGGCAGGGTAAGGGAGACCTGGACGATGGAGTCGCGCCATTGAGGCAGGACGGCGTTGTCACCGCCAAAGTGAGAGACGTTCAGTCCGACGCCAATGTAGGTGACACCGAGCTCGACGAGAGCCTGGGCAGTGGGGCCGAACTCGGGAAGCTTGGAACGGGGGAGCAGGCGGCCGCCGAAGAGCTGGGTACCAACTTGGATATTACCAGAGGGAAGAGGGCCCCAGTAGTTGTTGTAGTGGTCGCGGTAGTTATCGAAAGCAGTGTAAGTGGGCTCGAGGTCAACACCCAGGAGCGCGAGAGCATCAGTCAGAGGCTTGAGGATTGTCTCAACCTCAGCCTGGGTCTTGTTGTAGGCAGTCATGGCGGGAGACTGCAAGAAACCAGGGCCGAAGAAATAGATGATCATGACGCCTTGGTCGACGATAGCAGGGAGGGCAGCGTGGAAGACGTCAATGACGGAGTACAGCAGTGCCGTGTTGTTGGTATCGACAGTCACGGCAAACTTGGCGCCGGCGACGGGGGCATCGGGATGAGCCTTGACGGTGATGGAGGTCACGACGCCGTAGTTGCCGCCACCACCTCCGCTAAGAGCCCAGTAGAGGTCCTGGTTCTCAGTTCGAGATGCCGTAACGAGCTCTCCGGTGGGAGTGACAACGTCGAAAGACAGGGTGTTGTCGGCAGCCAAACCATAGATGGCTGTGGTAGTTAGCGACAAAGTTACTGATATCGATCACAAACTTGACACTTACTTGCAAGAGCACTGTGTCCACCAGCCTGGATGTATCCTCCTGCGAGACCAACAGTAGGGCATTCTCCGGTCACAACAACCAAGCCAGCTTCATTGGCCGCAGCAATAGCCTCGAATCCCTGAATACCGGCGCCGGCCTTGAGAGCCTTTCCGACGTACTGCTCATCCTCCCAGTCGACGATCTCGGTGCCCTTCATGTAGTGGGTCCAGACGGCAAGACCACCGGCGCCGGTGGAGCGGCCATTGTAGTCGTGGCCGGTGTTGCGGATGACGAAACGCACATTCTTCTCGTCGGCAAACTTCAACGCCGCCTGGATATCCGCAGGCCCGGAAGCATTGACGGCGTAGCTGACATAGTTGCCCAGAGTGCATGAAGCATTTTGCGGCAGGAAGGGATCGCAGCTCGCGTTTGCGAACAGGGGTGCCATCACGGAAGAAGAGGACTCCATGCTGTGCGCACGCGCGAGTCATGGTCAGCAGTTGTTCATCTCGTCTTGCAGTTGATCACCTCCCAGATGAGCAAAGCTCGGCCGGACGTGCAGAAGACGCGGTGAGGGCAGAAAAAAAAGACTCAATTGCAGAGCAGAAAAGAGACGGAGAAATACTTACTGAACCTCGGAGTAAAGCCATTCATCCTGCAGCCGTGCGCACTCAGTCGCATTGTAGTTCGCGCCGTGGCATGGAGTTCCCAATGGGACCGTAGCCACGAGACGCCCGCTGACGGTCGCGTTCAGCTTCGCCCACTCACACGGGGACGGCCATCCCTCGTCGCCGGGGAGATATTTGCACGAGGGCGTCGTGGAGTTGCTGCCCACGGGCGAGGCCGCGGCAACGCTTCCGCCGGCCAGCGCCAGGGAAGCTAGATTAAGAATCGAGGAGCGCATCTTGAATCTCTCTGGCTTGGCGATGAAGAGAGGTGTGAAGGGGACGGAAGCTGGAACGTGCTTCTTTCGCTAACCCGCTGCAGGAAGGCAGAAAAAGTTGAGGGCACGAGGAGAAGGGGGATCAGAAAGGGGGCGTCGCGCGCGGGAACCGTGGGAGGGTGTGAGGGTTTCTAATATCGAGTCTGCGACGCTGCCTGGTGGTCTGTCGAATCTTGCGGCTTTCCCCTCAATTCGTCTGCGTAATTGGATCCGGGTCCCGTACACCCGCTAGACGAAGGGAAAAGTGGCGATTGTTCGGTGAGACAAGCGGGATGCTGGTGAGCCTGGCTGTGGTCCCGGCCTGGGTAAGCAATGCCATGCGGTTTCCGCGCATGTCTGCACAATTCAGGGCATGATCTCCGTAAGCGGAGGAAAAAATACCGCCTCCGAGTCGTCCGGCCGGCAGTCGGGGTTCCTGCATATGCAAGGGAACTTTTGGTTGGTACCAGCTGAAGAATCCAACGGCATCGAAGACGGGCTTTGTCCTCTTTAGCATAAAGGCAAGCACAGCCCTAGACTCTTGTTCGAAACCCCTTGAACCAACAGCAGCTGCAAATCAGCGAACTATTCAATCTTGGCGGTGGAAACCCTGCCGCGGGGGTAGCATCTGCAAGGGAGCGGCGCGGGGGACCCGCTTCCCGGGGTTGGAACCGTTCAAGAGAGGCTGTTCCTCCGTGGTGGTCCGGTGTTCTCCGGTTGGGCTGTTGACCGACCCAGGGCCTTGACTCATGTGCCCTGCGGGCCGGACCAGTAACCGTGAACCTTAATTATGATAAACGAGGGCTTCGAGTTGTTCTACAGGCTAGAAAGCCCTGAAGATAGGGACTTCTCTGCCGTATCTCCCAGAATCCTGGCTCCTCATCTTACTTGCGCCCGGCTTGCGTACGACTGGACGGCGTGTTGTGGGAGGGATTTTGTGGCGGAATGTTGCCGTCGAACTTTTGATAAATGACAATATTTTGCCTGCCCGTGTGAACATTTTACAGATGAAGACAGATGAAGATGGAGGCAGAAGTCGCAGATAGAGATGGCATACCGATGCAAATGCATCTGCAAGGTCCTGCGCAAAATGATGGTCCGCTGCACCGGATCCGAGAGGTCTAGAATTCGTTTGACGGTGATTTCGTTCTCGGCAACAGTCAACACGGACCCAAGTTGCCCGTGAGTCCGTGAGAGACAGAAAACCTCTCGTCTTTGACCGATTATTGGGTACCATCAACGTCTCGTTCTTGGTTGGTGTTTCTTGATGGCGTGTGTCCTTCCTTGAACTTCTAAATGCGAGCCCTATGCGTGGATCACGCACCGTGAGCACTTCAAACACATCGGTACCAAGTTACCAAGTTAGGGATCCAGGTCGTGGGAACCCCTGGCAGATGTGTTGTTCATGTGCTCGTGCGAGCTGGAGCCCTCAACTAGTTCACACCCACAATGCCTGACCTGAGCCTAATGTACGAATATCCGTACAGAGTGCGCACACTTACCATCCGGCCGGTGCTTCTGATCTGCAACGATAGTGTATGGCTGTACGCGCGCCAAGCAGGGCGAATCTTTAAAGACCTCTTGTGGGGCATTCTTCACCGGCCACAACTTAATATTAGCAGCCGTACCCAGGGCAATTTCGACGCCTCGCATTTGCAGTGCCGCATCGAAGCATGCGGAAGCAAGGGTCTGCCACACCTCCGCAACAGATAATGGTGTGCGTGTGAGACGTGGGGGAGAGAAAGCTCTGCGCATCTTACTTAACAGTGTGGCTGTCCTGGCCCCCCCTTCGGATTGAAGAAGCGTTGGAAGGTCTTCTCGAATCCTTTCCAGCCCTCCGAGCGCCCAACCAACTCCCTTCAACGACATGGGCTGGACGTACGGCGCCCCAGACGACACGCCGACCGATGGCCCACGAATCACGGCGGTGACGACCACCTTCACGTCGATTGCGCTCATTCTCGTCTGCTTGCGATGGTATGTCAGGACAACTGTGGTCAAAGCGGTTGGTAAAGGTGAGTTTGCTCAAACCGCGATCTGCGGGGCCAGGGGAGCACGGTCGACTGACGCGCAGGCGAACCAGATGACTGGGTTATCATCGTATCTTGGGTATGCTCAGCATCGAACTCTATCTTGTCACCACGTGAAGTTAACCTTTTGATCACAGCTTGGAGCATGTGGCTACACTGTCTGCAGTGTAATTCGTTCGTCACCGTTGACAATACCGTCTCACCCCTGAAGCTAACAGAGACAGAGACGAAATGGGGTCTCGGTATCCACGTCATTGAAGACATGCCAACAGAGAATATCCTACACTTTGGAAGGGTGAGTAGCTATGTATCTTGATTTGGGTTTTGTTGTTGACTCGGAACAGTTACAATTCATCGGGGGTCCATTGTAAGCTGAATCCTTCACGACTTATTCAACACAACGGGAGATCGGCAGAACTGACGATTAACTTCTAGCTACGTGCTTGGCATCTGGGGGTTCAAGATGAGCTTGCTGTTCTCTTACCTTCGATTCTTCCCACAAGGAGCCTATCGCATCGCTACGATTATCGTTGCTGTCGCTGTAACCATGGGCCACATTGCTTTCATTTGCGTCTTCATTTTCTTATGCACACCTGTGAGGATTCGAATGATGCCATCATAGTCTTCAAACGGCCTACTGATCCTTGTGGGATAGGTTGAGAAACAATATGACCCTTCGATTCCTCCTGAAGTTGGGCATTGTGTCGACGCCATCACCTTCTATTTGACGTTCTCTTCCCTGACTATCGTCTTCGACGTCATCATGTACGGCCGTTCTTCACTCTAGCCCCTGACATCTGCTAACCTTCTCGACAAAAGCATGTTCCTCCCCTTCCCAGTTATCCTTAGATCCCAGATCCAGCAGCGGAAGAAGGTGGTCCTCCTTGCGCTCTTCATCCTCGGCGTCTTCGTCACCATCATCCAAGCGATCCGAATCCAGACCATCAAGAACTTAGTTAACTACCTCGACTCCGCGAAGAGCATCGAATGGTCCGTCATCGAGAACGACATCGGCATCATCATCGCCTGCGTGCCGACCCTAGCCCCGCTAGTCAAGTACTTCGCCGAGAAGAGCCGGAGCAGCACTGCCGGCGCATCACGTACCAAGAATTCGAAATACGCGCTGCAGACTTGGAGGACGGGGCGGAGCGGCATGCAGCCCCTGAGTGCTGGGGTTGATAGGCATGCTTCCATCAGTGCCACGCGCACGACGAAGCCGGATGATAGCACGGAGAACATTCTGGTGCAGGAACCATCGGGAATCACGAAGACGACAGACATCCAGGTTTCAACACAGGACGGATGGTCAGACGTCGAAGATAAGAATAGTAATCATCAGGCATAAGGAGATTCACATGGTTTAAATCTACATTGCGTCTTCCACTGCATAGCGACATCTCCGTGTAACCATTGTTCCTGATACATTAACCTCTGACCAGTCGGTTCTGCGCAACAGCATCCCCTCGTGTGTTATCCTTTGAAATCCTTCGCCTGGCCCATACAGAACGCTTCTAAGAGTCTCGATGAGGCGCTGAAAGTTGAATAATCTCGAAGGCATCACGCAAGTAGTCCTCCGTGTTTGACTTGCTTTGAATGCTCGAGTCTACAGGTAAAGTTGCAACAAAAGACGTAAACAGGGTCACCATTGTATGTGTCTGCTCACGCATGATTACGCGCAGGACGCAAGGGGAAACAACAAATTCATTGTGACTAAAATTGAAAAACAGCTCCTAAACATGAACCAGACTTCTTGACAGCTAGTGAAAGAGTCCATCTTCATCTTTCTCCTTGATCATGCTGTATTTCATCCATAGAAAGTCCTTTGTGAAGTGTTCGTAAATACTCATCAAACCTCTTAGTCTCGTCTATAACCGTCCTGAGATGCAAATACTCCATCGGGCAGCCTTTATAGGAAGCTAATTGCCGCGCTGTCGAAATTGCGTTTCGAATTTCTCTACCATTAAGGTTTTCTTCAGCAAGTTCGTCAAGATGCTCTGAGATTTGCGAAACTTTGATGCCATGCTCCTTAGAAGTCGTGGATTCCCTAACCCGTGTGTCCACGGATTCCAGACGCCGGAGGAAATTCTCCCACACCTTCAGTCGCTGGTTCTTGTCGAGGTTATTGTACCTTAACGTAAGCTGTAACCTTGATTTGAAGGCCTCGTCGAAAGTTCCCACGCGATTTGTTGTCAAGATTATTATGCCTAGTCACGATTAGACAAGAGTTTCAGCAGAGGTTGGAATGAATAAATCACCATCGTAGTACTCCAGAAACCTTAAAAACGCTAGATTGACTGTTTAGTGCCGGGTATTCTAAGCGCGTCCGGGAGAAGCATGCACACCTGATACTAGTGCGTTTCTCTCAATGCTTGAAATTGAGCGCTGCTCTAGAAAAACATCGGCTTCGTCGAGGAGGACAACTGAGGCGTTCAGGCTACGACTCGTGATGAGAGTGCAACACTGACTCTGACTTACCGCAATTCCATGCCTTTCCCGAAAGGGACACTTGTTCCAGGTACTAAGTATCAAATCAGTGAACTAGTGCTTTCTATGTTCAACAATAAATATACTCTCTCTACTTCATCGGCTCTTGTGCCGATGTCGCCGCAGGTTACCCTATAGAGCGGCCTTCTTGCAACTTCGGCGACACTACCAAATATCAGCGTTAGCGGACCTCATGACAGAACGCATATATAGTTCAAACCTTTCGGCTGTCAACGTCTTTCCGCTGCCAGGTCCCCTACCAAGCGGCCAAATCAGCAACTAGTCTTCTGAAGCACAAGACCTGAAAATAGTTCATACCCATGAAGCAGGATGCATAGCCCGTTGCCCTTCCCCTCTATCAAGTCAAGGTTCTCCTCCTCTCGCAATGTGTTTGTTACAACAGCTTTCACAAGATCTTTGGTGTTTGTGTCAATAACCAAATCTTCAAAAGCTCTATCATTCCACGTCACATCCTGGATGAAGGAAACCCTTAATGTCTCTACATGTTGTTAGCAGAGAGGCTTCGCTCAACCGGTACCCCAGATCTCTGAAATCATGAACATACTCCATTCTTTGGTGTTCATATCGAATGCCTGTATCCTTGAAGGAAGACACATGATGAACTCGTCATCCTGGGGGTCCAAGTAGGTCGGCGTGTCGATTGAGACGAGGTTGGATCTACGCGAACGCCTGGAATGCTCAAAATCAAAATCATCTGAGCCATCGCCAGGATGCATTTTGTTGAAAGTCTTGTAATCAATCATGAATCTTGACTTCGCCTTTGAATCGTCAACAACAGAACAGGGTCAAAGCGGTGAAACGCACCGTGAACTGTATAGTGTTGCTTTGAGGTGTAATGTAGGAAACATATCTCTGATGACGACATTTCCAAAACATGGCCCCTCGATTTCGCAAGGCTTTGACAACGTCAGCTTCAGCATATTGGAGGGGGAAAAAAGGAAGATCTTGAATCGGAAATTCCTCATTGGCTGATCTTTCTGGTAGTTGTCCAAGGGATATCCTGAATGATCGGCGCTGAAATGATCCCGTGAAAATCCAGTCTGTGACGATGACAGTTGAATAAAATTTGTCCTCTTCATCGCCATCATCATCGCTGCTACTATCGTCGTCGTTGCCGTCGGAGGAGGAGGAACGGCGGGGAACACGGCGGGAGGAAGAAACGGGACGGGGGCGATAATCAGAGGTAACATGAGTGCGGGAGAAATGCATGGGATGCGCGCGGGTTGGTGGATCAGGATTGGGGGGAGGAGGGTACTGAACATAACGGGCCCTGTGTAGAATGGATTCTCGTGGTGGGGGCTCAAGCCATGATTTCGCTGCAAACCCTTGGAAGAGGGAAACTTCCCAACTTTCCATCCTTGATATCAAAACCAATTTTGGCCTCTAGCTATGGTCAGATGGCGAGTTCGAGCGATTGCGGGGGATGCCAAGTTACTAACAAAAATATACCTCAACAGTTCCGCCGTGATCATTCCTCTTGCAGTCATCTCCTCGACACTGTCCCATGTTTTCTTCAATCGATCCTCCATATAGTCTTGAAGCAGATTGATCTGAATCTGGAAATTCGACGCCATTCTCGCTTTGGCCTTTTCGATTTCATGACGACTATGGTACCACCAGAGATATGGGTAGACGATGGCACGAAAGCGGTTGTCAACAAATTTCGGGTGGTCAATTTCCTTCAAAGCCGACTCAGAGAGCACTTCTAAGGCCGAAAGTGTCTCATCTGAAATAATATCGAGATACTCTCCGATGAAGAAGTGCGAAAGGTCTTCTTCTGAAGTTTTACCGTCATATGAAGATTTCCATGGAACCGAGCCTTTACAGCAGGCAAACTCTCTGATCACAAGAAAGCTGACATCCTTGTTACGCTCAAGGTAGAGTTCCATGGAACGTATGTGCCGACTGCTCGCCAAATGGGCGCCATACTGACTACTTTCGACAATCCAAGGCACGTCCAGATAGAACGAGTTTCTCTCGTGTGCTTCTTTTCCGTGACATTTGATGTGGAAAACTAGCTGTCCTCTTGGTGGACCTGTTTTGACCGGTTCGTTTTGTTGTTCTTCCAGGTTCCTAATCTTTCCGTCAACGTTTTCGAGACCTTCAAATATTTCGTTGTCGGAAACATCGTTCGGAAGCTTTAGGAACTGACAGATCTCGCTCCGCCAATCTATTGTGACGATCTGTATCGGCCGGCGTCTAGTTTGCAAAGGTTTGTCTGAATGTCCAGTGTGAATTGTCAGCCAACCTGTGATATTTTGGGAGAATGGTCACCAGCCTTCATCACCAGCGGGTGGTACTTCCTCGGACCACTTCTCCATAGTGCGTTCAAACAACAACTCGTGATTATCAATGGGTTCTGTGCGTGCTTCTGGTATGAAATTGTCTAGTATCGCGCCATCGAAGGACGGCTGCGGGCCTCGTTGTCGGTGACGGTCGCTTGACCCGGGGTCAAATCTAGACTTGCGGCATTGATTTGAACATTCATTTCCATCAAAGGGAGAAGCGGGGTTCGACACGACAGCCGTAGTGCTGCCGGATTATCTTACATTTGTAGGCAGCATACCATTGGTCCATGAGCGAGCCGGTCCAACAAGAGCTTTCTGCCAACACTTCGTACCCCGCGATCAGGCTGCGCGTGGTTATCCGCGGCGGCTGCATCTCAAAAGCCTACACTTTGGTTCAAGATTATTATCCATGACGGTGTCTTCAAGAACTTGACTCATAAAAGATTGAGTTCTATAAAAGAGACATCTCGTCAAAGGAAACTGCATCACGGCTTTAATGCGCATTTCTTTGACGGCTTACCTACGATATGGAAAAGCTTTCAGATGAGTTAAGACGTCAACTAAGGCTTTCTTCGACCGAGGGGAAGAAATCAGAGACAAAGAAAGCCTTGAAGAATAGCATTGTAAATCTTCAAAACCAGCCGCAAGAATTTTGCGATGCTCTCCACGCCTTACACCTTCAGATACAAGGTAAGTTTTCACAGTTTGGAAAGCCTATCCGTCTATCTTACAACGCTCCAGAGGCGAGTTTAGGCCTTTCAGACATCAGTAACATCATTGTTTTGGACACATCTCTCCTCTGGAAAATCCCAGCTTTTTGTCTCCCAGTGGCATGCGTCTTCGATCCTGGGCAGATGGTTCATCGTTTGCATGCCTTACGAGCCGCGAGAATTATGCGAGACCCTTCAAAACGCAACACGCTCGATTTCTGGCTCCACACAGGACTCGACAATTGGATCGCTTCCCAGGCACAAAGCCTGCTGATGATTCAGGTAGGATACAACATGACACACCAGATGGAGCACTTCAGTCTGGAAATGACGGAATTCCTATCTGCCCGCCGGCCCACCGTTTTCTTGTTGAATTCTTTTCTTAACTCTGAAGGTCGCACGGCCTTTGGAGATTTTCAACCAGAGAAAGTCCTGCGGCAGCTATCTATCCAAGCATTAGAAAAGATTCCAGCGCCGCAGCCTCTGTCCTTCTTGGTCTGTATCATGGAAAGGTTTCAAACCGCAAATTCATGCACCGACTGGGCAAATATTATTGGTCTAATCATAGACTACATTGACGACTTATACATTATTCTTGATCTTGGAGTCGTCCACGCCCAACATATTGAGCTCTTGCGAATCACGTTTAGAACTCTACTCTACGACACCCAATCCCGGGACCGTTTGAAGATCATGTTGATGAGCAGTCGTAAACTGGAACCTGCAGTCGATACGACGGAAATAGTCATCAGCCCGACTGGAAACCGTCGTCTACCTTTGAAGTTGAGCTTGTCATCAGTACAGAAGCGTCTTCTGTCAAAACTTCAAAAAGCCGATACAGCAGCAAAGAAAGCAGCCAACGCTACAGCCACACGCGCGGTGTCAGAGGCACTAGCGACGACAACATCAGAAGGCCGGTAAGCAACTCTATTATACAAAGGGCATGCGTCATTTTCCGAAACTGACAGTCTGCCTCAGAGGGCTGGCCTCCGATATGGCTCAAACAAACGCTGCCTCAACATCCAATGTGCCAGCTTCTTCTGAATTAGTTGGCCATTCGAGCGGGACGCAAAGTTCCCAGAAAACGAGGAAAACGATGTACAATACTCATTGTATACACGACAATTGTGTCTGCTGCAGACTGAACGATATCAAAGCTACCCAGAGACCTTATGCAGCATCACTGGGCGCAGACCATCGAGGCACGCAGCGCCCCAAGACCCAACAAACTTTTGCTGGCGAAAACCAACACAAAGTTACTATTGCCATTCTTTGTGCCTTGCCACTGGAGTCGGACGCTGTCGAGGGACAGTTGGATGAATACTACCCAACAGACTCACTACCAACCCACAAGGTTGCGTGGGATACCAACACATACTCTAGAGGAAGGATCGGTCGTCATCATGTCGTTATTGTCCACCTCGCTGGCATGGGAAAACGCGACGCCGTTGCTGCAGCCACCAATTGCAGGGCTAGCTTCCCAGACATCAACCTAGCGTTGGTTGTTGGTATTTGTGGCGGAGTTCCCTCGTATGTCAACGAGATTCAGAGGGAAATTGTATTGGGAGACGTTGTTATCAGTGAAGGTCTCGTCCCCTTTGATTTCGGGAGACGGTATCCTGACCAGTTCGTAATGAAAGACGAGCTGGTTGGTATAGTGGGAAAACCGCCGTTAGAGATAAGATCATTGCTCAACAAACTGAAAGGCCAAAACGGCCGGAAGGGTCTCACAGAGAGGACATGGCAGTATCTAGGAGACTTTTCACATGATCTTCAAAATTATGCGGTATATCCAGGGGTGGACGAGGACAAGCTATTCGCGGAAACCTACCGCCACAAACATCGCTCCTCGTCGTCTTGCCGGATTTGCACCGATGACAATGATTCGGTATGCGAAACGGCCAGATCATCATCTTGCGAAACTCTCCAATGCAGTAACGACAAGTTGGTCCGTCGAACTCGTCTTGTTCAACAAGGTGGGTTGGGTCCAGCGATACATTTTGGTCTAGTGGCCTCGGGGGATCAAGTGATGAAGTCAGGCCAACATCGTAACGATATCGCAGAGCGATATAAAGTCATAGCCTTCGAGATGGAGGGTGCTGGGGTGTGGGACACTTTCTCCTGTATGGTTATAAAGGGCGTCTGTGACTATGCCGATAGCCACAAGAACAAGAAGTGGCAAAGATACGCTGCCGCTACGGCGGCAGCTTGTATGAAGGCAGTGCTGGATGAATGGAATATGACAAGCTAGTTAGTATACCTCCGTGGGTAGCTCCCGGCCCCTGTCGGTGTCTATACACTTAACTTTCCTAAGTCGCGTGAGGTATGATATGTTAAAGATCGAAATCAGTATGGTAATAACCACGGTTATCGCTACGGTGAAATCGTGGGGCGAATTTCAGGGAGAACATGCATAGATCATTATGTGCTTAGCTATAGAAGACCTGTTGCCGATTGCAGGAGAAAGGAGTTGGGAACCTGTTTTGCGAAACCGGATATGCCTCATTTACTCGTCATATTTCGCTTTGATGACCACCCTTGAAGTACACCAGAACTATACGCTGCACTAGTGTAGCTTTGCTTCGGCGACCTTGCAAGAGCCGAATTCAAGAAAGTGCTGTTGGCATTGACTATGCTACAAGCCAGCACCACCAACATAAGTGATAAATACGCACACAACCAGACAGGGTTGGAAGACTTGTGTATAACGATGAGAAGGGTCAAGAACTAGATTGGAAAGATTAGCAAACGAGAAGGCTGTCGTGCTTTATAGTCCTCGAACCAGAAATAGCAGCGCCCCGGAGGCGGCCGATGAAAGGTTCAGCATCATGTCGATGTTGTGGATGGATAAGAAGTATCCCGAGGACCCGAGGGAACGGTTGCCCAGTGTATAAGTGTACAGAAAAGCAAACACTGCCGAACATCTAGCCTGTCCCCTGTTCGGTGGCTTGTTTGAAAACCCTTGGCAGATCGAGGGACAATGCTGTGGCTCTTAGAAGAGCACTCAGGAGATTTGCCAATTCCATCGGTCCAATCAAATCAAAAAGCGGTTCCCAAGGCTACAAACAGCTACGTTGTGCGAATTTTATCTGCTCCTGCAATGTTATTCTTCTTGATGCCGGGGCTGGGCGCTGCACTCTGGGATTTCTCTATCTGATCCAAGGCCATTGTGGTTATCTTGGCCTCGACTTGGCTGAGAGTATTTGGTTCCTCTTCCTGATTCTTGGAACAACCAGATATATTGCAATGTTTTAGTTGGTACCGGAGTGTGGGCTTTGTCTGGGAGCAGATCGCCTTCTGCTAGCCTGTTACCTGCCTAAACTGCGGGAAACTCATTGGTGGTCCGGTGGAAACGTTTACTCTCGGGCATGAATGTTCAAAGCGACAGTGAGCATGGACCTTGAATTTTTGGCGTGATTTTTGCAGGGGATCATTCATTCTCGGGCTGAAGAACGTTGGATGCTACCAACTCAGACTCAAGATTCCCAGCCAGACTGATGGTTTGAGAGAAGACTTATCCGATGATGGCAACGGAATCACCCGATTATTTCCAGTAATCGAGCTGGACAATCTGGAGCATCGATTCATTCAGTAGGACTTTCCATGATCTACGTGGCGTGTTTGCTTGCCTCATCTCGAGCATATCACGCAACCACCTCTTGGCCACGTGCGAGGCCCGCCGAGGGGCATGGCAGACATCGTTGTCAAGCGCAAAAGACATCACACGCAATGCCCAGAAAACCACTCTCGAGTCTCGACCTTGAGATCAAATGCCAAGGAACATGTTTGTCCCAAATTCCTACCAGCTGAAGCGGCCAGCACGAGTGACCCTTGTCCCCTGCACCCCGCAAACCAACAAGCAGGTTCCTGACCACCTCGTTTCTGATCTCTTCTTTGCCAGTCGAAAGCAGGAGCCTGATTTCTTGCAGCAGCTAGACGCAGGGAAAGCACTCCAAGACCACTCTCTACCAACATTGTCAGCTTCGAGTCTCCTTCATTTCCAAGCTCAGTCCCATTGTGCAACCGTTCAATGCAAGCAATAGTCGCAGAGAGGCACCTGCGTCGTTGGATGCCGTCAAGCCGATTGGTCTCCCACTTTTCGGTATGCAGGGGTTTCCACCCCCAACGCCCGCGTCTGCCATTGACCAGTAATGGTCCAAGATGGATGAATATCGCTCTTTCAAGAAGTCAACTTCGCTAGCGTCTGAGGCGATGTTTGCCCTCACCATCCGGGCGGCGCGGAGACTCGAGGATTGGCCCAGAGCCAAGGGCTCACTCGATGGTTATCGATGGATTGCTGGAACGACTGCATCCGGCGTGGGACTTGAACATTGCGAAAGAACTCGAATCTCAACCTTTGAGTTCTCTATAAAGACACTGTTCTACTGAGGCGTCATGCGTCCTCCCTTTCTGTCTTCACTCGTTCCAGCTCATCCTCAGGAGCAGACAAGAGCATCACTTAATCCTAACGAGCCCACCGACCATCATTCAGTCTTTTCACCCTTCAACGCCTCTTCTCTTCTTTTCTGCTCATTCACAACTACAACCCTCATCATGCAGTTCCTTACGACCATCCTCGTGACAGCTGCCGCCGTCCAGGCCGTCGCCCTCCCAAACCCCGTCGCCAGACCCGCCCCCAACCCAGTCGCCGAAGCAGACCCATGGTGTACCAAGCCCGGACAGCCATGCTGGAAGCGTGCCGTCAACGCCATGGACAGACGCGAAGCTTTCCCGGAACCCGTCGCCAAGCCGGCGCCGAACCCCGTTGCCGAGCCCGAGCCATGGTGCACCAAACCCGGCCAGCCCTGCTGGAAACGCGCCGTTGAGGACGCCATGCTAGAAGCCGTCAGGCGCGCAGCCCAGCCCGAGCCCGCTCCCGTAGCAAAGCCCGCCCCCAACCCCGTCGCCGAGCCGGAACCCTGGTGCACCAAGCCTGGCCAACCGTGCTGGAAGCGCGCCGTCGAAGAAGCCATGAAGCGCGAGGCCCTCCCGGAACCCGCTCCCGTCGCTAAACCCGCGCCTAACCCCGTGGCCGAGCCGGAGCCGTGGTGCACCAAGCCCGGCCAGCCCTGCTGGAAGCGTACTGTGGAGGACGTCATGGACGAGATGCTGCGGCGCGAGGCTCAGCCTGAGCCGGCTCCCATCGCCATGCCCGCTCCCAACCCCGTCGCGGAAGCTGCTCCCTGGTGCACGAAGCCCGGCCAGCCTTGCTGGAAGCGCGCGGTCGAGGCCATGGAGAAGCGCCAGCCTGTTCCGGCGCCTGCTCCCGTTGCGAAGGCCATGCCGAACCCCGTTGCGGTGGCGGACCCGTGGTGCACGAAGCCTGGGCAGCCGTGCTGGAAGAGGGCTGAGCAGGAGGGCAGGGTTGTTCCTGTCACGACGGCCTGGTGATGAGGTACGCCGTGTCCTTGCTTTGCCCATCAGACACCACTCGCTGACAGGTCTGGACAGCTTTGTCTCAAGACCGTCGATCGACTCCGGCCAGGCCTTTTCCTTTCTCTTGTGCGATATTTGAAGGTCAGGGCGTCATAATAGGGGTCGCCATAATAACTTGGGAGGAGAAAAAAATAACCACAAAATAATGCACGACCACCATATACAAGCACACTTTCCTTCGCCATTCTCTTCTTGTTCTTCTTCTTTTCCGTGGCTACTTGCCGCCGGTGCGACGTGGGTGGTCACTTGTTTCTTTCATAGATGGCGGCAATCTGCGTAGCAGAAGGAGCCGCCCTTTTCTTCGCCCATGTATTTTAGTGGTCGGGGTTTTCACTCGACGCGATAGTCCTGGCGAGGGGACTTTTGCGTTAGACGGAATCCACTGGGGACGCTTGTCCTCGTCGTGTAATATAGGAATGTTGAGGATTCCGCATATTTGGCTCTTTGTGATGTGACCCATGCGCAAAATTGGAAGGCGCGACGGGAGCCGGCTGTAGTGGCTCGTGGAAGCTTCAGACATGGTGATTCAAAGTTCATCGACTTGTTCGCCATAGACGCGCGGATCCTCGTCGTCCGTCGGCCGGATGATGGGCAGGTCCTGATGGCATCCAAATTTTCCGAGGCTCGGCAGAGATGAGGCTGAAAATTTCGACAGCGCGACACCCACCTCAACCAAACGGCAGATTCAAGATGTCGTCTCACGCGACAAGCAGAAGACAAGCCCTTCATAAAACATCTCGATGATGACAGGTTATGAGGCCGAACGCGTCAGTCGTCCCAGAGCAGGAGATCTGCAATCCGGGATCCTCTACACGAGGCAGGCAGCGAGGCAAGGCAGAACTACGATGCCTACACTCTTGATAAGCCAGGATACACGTCACAGATGGAAAATTCGCATCGCGGCAGACCAGACACGCGCACAAATACTACGCGTGGTCGAGAATATGTACGTTCAATCATTGCGCTCCTCCTCACTTGCCCGAAGGCATAGAAGCACCGCACCCAAGATTGTTCGATTCCTTCTCCATTTCGATCTCCGTATCCGGTGGTCCTGGGCTCGTACAAGCGAACCTCTCACCAGAAAGAATCACGAGAACATGAATGTGATTTTTTGCGTTGTTCAATAATATGAAGAAGAGAAGAAGAAAACAAGCAAAGGTTGCGTAGCGTGGACCAACTTTTGTAGCCGCGACGAGATTTTTTCGTGTGGCTGCCTCAGGCACACGTGCTAAGGCGACCGTCGCCGACCCAAGTGACCCAGGCGGGCGGGACCACCTGCCCTTTCAAACGGGAAGGGTCCAATCGGCCCCTGCGCTTTCTGTCGCTGACACCCGCGGCCGGTCTTCGGCAAGGTGCAGTTAGGCAGTGGGTCGCCTGTAACAACATGCCGTCACTCGCTGTCGGCGACCATCTCCATTTCCTGCCCTCTTAGATGAGTCTCAATCTCCCTCATCCCCTTAGATTTTCGTCACAACACAACACCCACGGATAAATCAAGATGGCCAGACCAGCAGCATTGGCGGTTGACGCCGTTCCAAGATTTTTGCTCCCGAGACTCAGCTGGACTGGTCCTGCGACAGCTTCTCAGGCCCTGAAACCCCTCTCGGGATCGGAATGCCATCCGAGCTCTCGCCGACAGCTGCATAGCCAGCCGAATGCCCTCCACGGCGCAACCCGATCCCCGCGATCCCGCTCCAGCAACACCGCCAGCACCACTCCCTCAATTCTCGAGAACCCTGCGCTAAGGAGATCTTTTCACGCGACGCCCGCGAGGCAACGTGACCACCACTTCGACACCCTGAAGTTTGTGCAGCG